ATTGCAATATGGTTTATGATAACTTGTTAGCCTGGCGGTTTTTTCAAAGTTAATTTTTGGTAAATGTAACGTTTGATATAATACTTGGGAGGCATAGGCAGTCATGACAGAGCCCCTTTAAAATTAAAAGCATTTGCTACTCTGCCAAGAAAGGCCCCAGCTGCGTGTAACCTGTTACTCATCAGTTTTGGACGAGGTATGGAAATTGTCCCCCTATACAGTGACATCTGGCGTACGATACGGATCAGCTTCTAGTGATAAAAGCCATTTCCCGCTGTTAGAATACCATTGTTGGATCGAAATTAAAGTCGATTCGTATCAGCAGGGCTAGGAAAACGTACGCTTTCAGTTCTTATATATTTATAAGCTATTTCGGTTTCATTTCATCACCTACCTCAATATATAAGTCGCCACTGAAAGAAGCTTCGTGTACTACAACCATGCAGTAGAAAAAACGTTTGAGACATTCCAACTACAGACTACGAGAAGTCCCCATTTTTCCTCAGGGATAGTAGAGCGAGCGAAACTCGTGTGCGTGAATATCACCCCACGCGAGAAAAGCGAGACGCGGTGGGGAGAGAGAAAATGTGATTTTCACGCGCGCTCGCGTTTCGCTCGCTCCACTATCCCTGAGGAAAAATGGGGACAACTCGTGGTCTATTTCAACTACCATGAATAAGACTAAAACTAGCCAGGGTTTATAAGGCTCTGCCGATGTCTCATGCCATATGTCCTTCATTTAAAATTATGTTTGGAAACCTTCAACACGTGCCACAACGTGAGCTTGGAGCGCTGGGTGGAGTGGGAAGGGAGAGGAGTAGCCCGGGACCAGGCTCCTCATGGGGGGAGAAAGAAAAAAATTGGCGTTGGCGAAAAAAAAATCGGCGAGCGAAGCGAGCCGAGAGGTAGCCTGGGGAGGGAAAAGGGTGGCGCCGCCCTTCTCCCCACTGGCCCCAGGAACCGCTGGTCCCGCGCTTCGCTCGCCGATATTTTTCCTATTTGACCCCGTTTTTGCCTTTTCCTCCACTGCGGAGCCTGGTTCCTTGCGAAGAGAGGGGCGAATCCACTTTCTATCCGGAACTTTTTTTTTTCCCCACGGCACCAAAGAAGCAACAACTGCGGTCTTTGGCAAAAACATCCCAATTCCTGGCCTTGCAGTTGACTGTGGGTAGTTCCTTGAGAATTTTCTTAACAGTACCAAAGCCCGTGAGGGTTACTCAACAAATTTTTATATGGGGAGGCTCCGCCCCGAGGTCCAACCCCTTACCCTTTTATAAACCATTTTTCACGAAAAAGGTAACCCTTTCGTATACCATCTATTGACAGATGGTACTCCTTTCACATACCTTGTTCAGAACTTTGCGTTCCTTTTAACTGCTGTAAATGCACTAACTAGACACACTGAATTCTGCAAAGCTGATCGTACTACGTGAAAATTAACTTCGCAAGACATCAACACGACACCGAAAGAACTAGAAAAAGAGCGGGGTCGTAAATGCACTGCCGTCTAAATAGGAATCAATCACAAAAATAGAACGGTTTCTCGACTTTATAAAGCCATAAAATTCATCTGATAGCCCTTTGGGCCCTTTCACAGACCCAAATGACAGATTTCCCTACCCTTTCGAATACTTCAGCGAGCAAAATCCCTACCTTTCCATATACCTGAAGCCTGAAAAAGGTACCCCTTCCTGGAGGAGCCTCCCCGTATAGGCCATTATAGGGAGAACCCCCCCCCCCCCCGGGTACCAAAGAGGGCCCTGCTAATGGTTTTTTTTAATATGGGATGACATGGAAATAATCATTGGGTTGAGGGGTAATTCACTTATTTATTTACTTGTTTATTTAATAACAACAACAACAACAAAGAAAAACAAAAAAATAAACAAAAAGGACGATACCTGAAAATGGCTAGTCTGCTATACAGCTGTTTTTAGTGGCTAGAAGAGGCGGGTTTGGGGACAAAAGGCCCTACCGTTAATTTCCGTTCATTTTTGCACGGGGATTTAGGAGAGCTTATAAACGGAGACCTTAAATCCGGCAGGGCTTATAACCGGACTAAAAAAACCGTTTCAAAACAAAACAGTCGTCCAGAGGAGGAAAAGAAGACAATTTCCATACAAAATTTTGGGAGGCAATTATAAGGTGTATCATGGGAGATGTGCAAATGGCAAATTCATTAAGTACTGTCAAATTGTAATTCATGTTGACTATTATTATATTAGTATAGGTAATACCATGATTTGTAGTGACATTTGGCATAAATACCACAAGTGATATTTCGAAATTGATAAACGTAATTTCACGAGCCGTTAGGCGAGTGAAATTTGAGACAATTTTGAAATATCACGAGTGGTATTTATGCCAAATATCACGTACAAATCATGCTATTATTTGTTTATACTACTACCTGCAAAAGGTTTGTAATTTTCACATGTAGGTATTTCAAATTAAGCTGAAATACCAGTGCTCTAAGCCAACCAAATTGCAGTAATTTTTCATGTAGTAGTATAATGATTGGTATGTTGCTGTTAGAGTTTGAAGAACAGTTTACTTCTAACTGTCATGCATTAAAATTTAAAACGTTTTCCCCTCGGGGCTCCTGTAATCATTGAACACCAAGGCAAATTAAAAGGATAAAAGTTCTTCTCGATAATTCACTCAAAAGCTTCTTTAAATTTCGTCAATTAATAACCGCTGGCAAAACAATATATGGTACTTTTCCGTTCATGACCGCAATTGAATGACAAGTACCACTAGGTAAACAGGTGCTACACACTATAATCACTGTTTTAAGTGACTATCGATGTGGATGGGCGTTTGCCGTTTAGTGTTGTTTCCCTTGTATTTTACTTTTCAGTATTTGGAGAGTTACCGTTCAAGAAAAAATAGTCATCATCGTAAGTTGTTATGCTATAAGAAAATCATTCATAGAAACTGAAAAGGGGCCAAAAATTTTATTTTTAATTTTTACTGAGGCAAATCTGTTAGAGTTGAAAAGAAACGTCGAAAAAACGAAAGACAGAGACAGTGTAGTGTTGGTGTTGATAACGGAGCTAAATATGCAAAATAAAACGAAGACTGCATGATTAAGGGCTTAACATCACAGTCCATTTTGTGAGGTAATGACAAGACATTGAACCAATGAGCTATCTAAATTTTGTCTGAGAATTTTTATTAAGTTCCAAGTAAATTATTGGCTACAGCAAAACATAAATGAATATTTATTTTCTTTCTCTCACAGACTCGCTCAGAGTATTTTTGCTACATGCGTGCATGTGTGCACTTTGCATTTATTCCTCGCTAATCGCAAACTAACGTGCACATGGCTTTTAAAGGAAACATTCGTCGTTTACTAAATGCGACGTTCAACGAAGAATGTGAGAGTTGTGACTTAGATAACTGTGACTATGGATTAAGTGAAATATCATCAAGTGTGTTCATTTTTCTATCTATTGTTTGCGGGATTTTTGCGATTGGAGGAAACTCGGCTCTTCTTCTGGCTCTCACTCGTACAGATGCACTGCGTAGCCGAGTAAATTGCTCGTTTATCTTTTCGCTGGCTCTTGCCGATTTAATGGTAGGCTTAACTATGACACCATTGTACGTGTGCTACGCTGTCGGCTATGAACCTTACTGGCTTATCAAGCTGGAGGGGTTTCTCTGGATTTTGACAGTCACAGCAACAACTTACAGCCTCAGTGCTGTAAGCTTGGACAGGTTGATATCGGTTGTTTATCCTCTGCTTTATCATCAGATAGTAACTGAAAAACGATGCCGTGTGGTCTTATGTCTAATTTGGACTGGATCCATTATCTTTGGTTTTCCAAGACTGGTCCTAGATGACTTTGTTAAACTAGAAAAGCTATGGATAGCTTGCTCTGTAACCACGGTGGCAATTCCATTGCTAATCATGCTTCTTTCCTATACTAAAATCCTTTTAATTGTTCAAAAGACAAATCGTTCTGTTGCAGATCAAAGTGTGTCGAGTGCGTGTGTTAGCGTTGGAAACAAAAAGGCTGTAATAACGATCGGCATAATCGTTATCCTATTTATTTTAACATTTATTCCAACTACCGTCGTTTACTTTATGCTTTTATTTGAGGAGGACCTCTGCAAAGAACTCACGCTAAACGACGTTTGGTTGTGGGTTGCACTTGTATCATTTTCTCACTCCTCGGTCAATCCTTGGGTCTACGGACTCAGGTATCGTGAATTAAGACAAGCGCTAAAAGACTCTTTAAAATGTGGATAGAATTTGATATAATGAAATACGTATAATAAAAGTTGAAGTTAAAGTTTAAAATCTTAAGTTAGACCCTCCCTATATATCAACTTCGTATTCATTGTATGTCACGATATTAAGCACCAGAAATAAATACATTTTCACGGCGTCAGCCCTAATCTTCAATAGTTGTCATTTTACATGGTGTCAAAAGTACGATTATAATTGTAAATGACTTATTTTGTACTTTGAATTGACATGTCAAGTTTATTTGACTTCTCTGACATAAATCGATCCACAACACCAATCTATTTAGCAAATCTCCTAGATTAGTGGTTTAGCTCTCTAGGATACCACTTAATTGATTATTAAAATGTTGACTGAAGTCTATCCAACAAAAGTAAGTATTCTTGACGTTTAAGTTTCTTTGACAGAGTACACGCAGCTGCCAATCTCTAGCCTACGAACAAAGAGAGTTTCCTGAAGAGTTAATAGACAAGTGTAACTTAAAGGTCGTTAGGAGGACAGACGAAGAGCTCATTTGGGATGTTTGATGGATATTTGGAAGGGCGTATACATGGAGGGGCTTATTTTCGGAATTTTACGGTATTCTAACATGAGTCCTCAAATAGAAAAGTGTCAGTGATAAATTGCTCTCAACGGCACAGATAAGCAAACCAGACATTGATTTCATATAAAACCACAGGAAGCAATCGCAAACTGATTAAAATTTTATAGCATGTTAGTGCTCGTTTTTCAAGTTTATCTTGGATTACATCATAACAGTGGGAGCCCAGGGGGGCTGGCAATCAACTACAGCATTATCTCAGCTTTATCGGTCTCGGATCGGTCGGTCAATTTAATGGCAACTATAGCGTTTTCGAATTTATTAGGAAGTCTTATTCTTTGCCCAGAATTATTGGAAGCTTAATAAAGGTTTAAGAAAACGAGAGATTTTCTCATACCCCTCTCTGTTACTTTTTTACAAAACAGAAAATTTTAGATCGATTTGGGTGTCCTTTGTTACGAATAATACATGTTAATCAAAATACGAGAAATGAAATGCAAAAAAAGCTTCTAGAACCTTGGGGAAAGGAAGTCTCGATGGAATTAACAACCATGCAGAGATGTTTTAATTTCCGTGAGCTACAATAATATTATTAATTTTTTTTTGATTTGAGACATTTCAGACCGTGAAAGCAGTCGTTAATTGCTGCTGACTGTGTTCGATATTGCCACTCAGTATAACCAGGTCCAGACAGTTTACAGTTATTGGAAGCAAATTTCTTGCTCCAAATGATAATCGGCAGGATCGTTTATATAGATAGTACTTATTGATCTTTTTTATTTTGGATGTATTTTCGCCTCACACTCGGTTGCATGAAAATGATTGGCTAATCAGGCCTGGGGTTAATAACATTGCTTATTGTTAAGAGAACGTTTTTTCCCAAGACGTAACACAAGAAGTCAGTGCTAGATCAAAACATGTTAAAACTCGACAAAATGCATTTTTTCATTTTAGTTAACAAGAGAAAACTGAGCTTTCTCTCTTAATCAAACTTTCACCTTCACAGTCCTGTGACACTCGAGCCGGTGGATAAGATGCTTTTTGGTGTAACCATTCGAATGAAATCTCTTCAGTACTATTTTCACATGGAAGTAAATGAATTCTCAGGAGTTATTATCTAGGTAAACTGCCATGGTGAGACGAATCAAATAAAACCTCTTCTGCCGCTTCTGACAGTGAGTGGCATTTTCATATGATAATCATTATTTTACAGTTGGAATATCAGTAATTTTAACCTTCCTTATCAATACGAACGAAATTCTCTTGTGTAACTGTTCAGCACGTTTCAAGTGAAACCAAATCGACAGCTTTAGTCGTTTTTTCAGGATTAAAGAAAGTGAATTGGGGCCGTATTTTGTCTCACCGTTCGATTTGGGAATTAACTCTTTGGGGATATTTCTCCCAACCCTTCTTTGTTTGTATATAAGAAAGTCAATTTTAATTGAGAAGAGTAATTTTCCACTCTTCATATAATAAATTATTGATTACTACCTGTCATAAGCATTACTAACATTAAGAGATATCTTTTATGGAAAAGTCAACAGAAATTTGGTAAGTGTTTGGACATAAAGCACCCTGCCAATTCCTTTAACAACAGTAGGAATTTATTACCCTGCGAGGTTTTGACTTGAATTTTAAGTCGTTTTTAATACATATATGCAGGAAACGGGTCAGGAACAGATGTTTCTGGTTTATAGTAAGAGTGCGATAGGGACTAAGGGGAATTTTTAAGTGACTAGTCTAAAATAGACAGCAAAACTGTACCTGAAAAATGTCTGGTGTAGTCTTAGGGCTTCAGGACCCAGAAGTCAGTACGCCCACCCAACATTTCTTAGAGTATTTCTTAATATCCGTTTCAACGGGGCTTAACTCTGGAATCCTTTTAAAGAAATCGAAGAGCTAAATTTAGCGAGTCGTTTTCGCTTTAAAAAGCTTTTAAAAGAATCTGTCATCATGTTGATTCGGGTGTACTTTACATGCAGCTATTTGTGTGCACAGCCCTTGTTTTGTCTTGCTTCTTTGTTTATTCGTTTGTGTATTTGTTTATTAATTACAGCTTAAAAATTTTTTCTTTGAAGGTTTTTTGAGTGCATGTGTTTATTTATAACAACTTTCTCGGATATCTAGTTACTTTTCAGTCTGCATGGCCCAGCCACTCAGCGCAATTAGCTTTTTGTATTTCTGAGTGGTTTTGCTCTCTTTTTTTCACAATTATTTCCTTTTAATGACTCTACACTTTTGTATCAAGAGCACAATAAAGATTGTTGTTGTTGTTGTTGTTGAGTACCCCCTGACTCTCGTCAGTGTTATACTAAGCCTATGTTCACACTACGCTTGAAGGGCACTAATGTGAACACACCAGTTCCCAACTAGGCAATAAATTGTGCATTGGGTCCGGCCCCTTTGCGCAAACGTTTTCATCCATACCGAAGCAATCCATGGTTTTGTATAGCCGCAACGACCCTCTTCGCTCACGCTTCGAAATGAAATAGCGTCTGTCGGAGTAAGATGGAGCAAATTTGTACAGTTACATGTCGGGTACCCAGTGTATGAACACAACATCATTTTGTGCCGGTACCCAGGCACTAGTGCTCAGGCACCAAGTGTGATAATGGCCTTAAAAATAGAACGATTTCTTCGCCTCTTGTAAGGGAATCCACTGGACAGTCTTGGAGTCTAGATTCCACGCCGTGGATTCTGGATTCCAGGTACTGGATTTCGGATTCTTTGTCAAAGAAACTTGGATCCCGGATTCCAATCTTTTGGTGGGATTCCGGTTTCCTTGAGTTGTATTCCGGATTCCTTGAGTTGTATTCCGGATTCCTTGAGCTGTATTCCGGATTCCAAAGCCCAGAAATCCACAAGCAAAAATTTCCTGGATTCCAAAATCCTGATTCTCTTACATGAGCGAACTTATGATGTTCTAATGAATTTTAACCTGTTCCCTCAACGCTTTTCTTAAGGCTCGATATCTAAGCCCATAAACCCAAGGATTAATTGCTGAATGGGAAAATGACACAAGAGCCACCCACAGCCAAACATCATTCAGCTCAAGTTCTTTGCACCTGTCCTTCTCAAACAGGAGCATAAAATATACAACTGTACTTGGAATAAATGTTATGATGAACAGGCAAACGATTATTCCAATAGTGATGGCAGCTTTTCTATTTCGCAAATGTTTGCCAGTTGTAAAAGTGTTCGCCAGTTTTCGACCATTTTGCTTCTTGACGATTGTAAAAATTTTGCCATAACAAGAGGACATGATCAGTATTGGAATGGCAACAGTGACAATCGAACAGGCGACCCATAACCTTTCTAGTTTCTGAAAATCATCCAGAATCAGTCTGGGAAATCCGAAAACCAACCCGTCAAGCCAGATCAGCGCAATGACAACACGACATCGTCTTTCAGTCACAATCAGACTATAGCGCAGAGGATAAAGTATTGAAATCAGTCTGTCCACACTGACAGCGCTTAGACTATGAGTTGTAGCTGTTACCGTTAAAATCCAAAGAAAGCCCTCAAGTTTGATGAGCCATGGAGGATCTAAGTCGACTGAGTAGCAGATATACATCGGTGTCATCAACAACCCGATCATGAGATCGGACACGACTAATGAAACGACGAAATAGTTCGTAATATGGCCATAAACTGCTTTACTGCGGTAAAACGCCGCAAGGAGGGCTAGGTTTCCTCCGACTGCCCAAATCCCGCAGATCAATGATAAGGAAATGAAAATATACTTCGATATTTTGCTTAATCCATCAAATTCAACGCAATCAGTATCTTCGTAGTCTTGGGCAAAGTACGTGGCGTTTAATACCAAAACTGAATGGTTTTCTTTGAGATAAGGCTTCATACTTTATATTAGCATGGTTTCCACGCCAAATCGATGAACACACGATCAAGCTTTTGTGATATTTCTTCACCTTCAGTTTAATTTAACTTTCTTCCAACAACAGTTTAATTAAAGTGTACACGGTGTGCCGTGTACTGTTTTGTATTCGCATAAATTGCGTTTTTTGTTATTAACATGCAAATGTCAAGTTTCAACATTCCGTATTTTAAAGTTCAATCAAACCGCATGTGGTTGTTTTACAACTCTTTACACCGTAGTTTGATGGAACGGTAATGTAATTTTCAGCCTTGTTGAGGGGTGCGAAGGAAAGAAAATAAGGTACACCGTTAATAGCTGTAAATGCATTACCTCCGTTATCACAGGACTTTAATTTGTTAAAACCAGACTAACAATTTGTGCAGCTGTTTCTATAATAAATGGCTGTGGTTTTATGAATATGTAAGCACTGTACGTGCATAGAACGCTGCAAGTGATAATCGAGTTCCCTAATTGTAAACCCAGCCTCTGAGACCTAAGATTCCTTTCACCGGGTGACGGGTGTCAGGAAAACGCGGAGTCAGGGTCGGGGTCGGGGTCGGGGTCGGGGCCGGGGCCTTTCCTTTTTTAAAGAATGCTTTTTTAGGGTTAGGGTTATCTACCCTAACCCTAACCCTAACCCTAACCCTAACCCGAACCCGAACCCGAATCTGACCCCAGCCCCGGCCCCGACCCCGCGTTTTATTGACACCCATCCGAAAGTTTCGACCACGGTACACTGCAAAACAGTCGGTTTTTTTCTCAAAATCAGTAAAGAAATCGGTAAAGCGTGACGTAAGAGTCTCACGCGCGCCAAGCGCGCGAGCCTCTCGCTCTCTGTTTTCAGCCTCGTTCCAGACGTTCTGTTTGGCTGCTCGCGTGTTCTTGAATACGCAAAAATACGGACTGTTTTGCAGTCTACGACCACGGCGAAAACAGTAGACGCCTGGGATCAGACTGGGGCAAGATATATAAAATATATGTGCCAAAAGGTAAAATTTCATTGCTTTTTTTCCAGTTTAAGATAGTTTGGGAGCAACACGTGAAAAAATAGAAACACAGTCCGCTTGCCAATCGTGATGTTTAAGTTGTCAATTTTCTTTAATGAACGGGGCAAGTCTGACTTCTTTTTATTCTAGAATTTCTGTGACGTCACTTGAAAACGATCTTGAAGACGAAAGGTGCTATCTATTTTCTTCAAACCGACCAGAAACCAGGGGCGCTTTCCATTCAACCCAAAATTCTCGAAATTTCGGTTGGTACGTCAAATGGAACGGACCATTTCGGTTTGGTCCGACCGGAATACTCGGGACCAGCTTTGAAGGTGGTCCACTTTAACCGGTCTCGTCGTTTACGTCGATTAGACACAAATGTCCCTTTCCATTTGACAAAATTGTTGTCCCCAGTATCGCTCTTTTGTATCCTGCTTGCAAGAAGAATAACCAAACGCGCGGTGGCTTGGGTCGGGTCTGTGTAACCGGAATGTACAGCTCCACTGGGCACGTGAAATTTCCGACATTTCAAACCGGAATTTTTGTTGAATGAAAGCGCTCCAGACACGTTTCGACCAAAAGTTTTTATTTCTCAGCGACGGACTAGTAAGGTTGGAAGCAAGAATTTTTGGAGAACTGTAAGTTTTGGTCGGAACGGACCGGCCGGAGATAACTATCTTCGGAGGTGGATCACTTTTTCCGGAAAGTTTGCAGCTGTACTGAAGAGTTCTATTTTTATTCCGACCGGATTTCCGGAAATTTTAGCGTAATGGAAAACCCCCAAGAACTACTGAGCAATCCCTTCTGAAATCTGTTCATGTTGTCCCTTGTTGCACATGGTGGTTCTAGTTTCATGACTATGCAAGAAATTGATTTAGCACCGAAATTTACTAGGACCTTTGAGTAGTAATTTCTGTTATATTGCTTATTACGTTAGAAATCAGACATGGAGTCAAATTAAAGGAATTTTATATTGAACAATAATCTGATAATACCCTGTCTGTTGATATGGGTATACACTTTGTATGAAGCAAAACACTTCCAGGGAAACAAGCTGATAAGAAACCTTAAGAGTGTTCTATTGTGACGCTTACACCAACCATTAAAAAGTAAAGTTCATCTGTTTTTTTTCCCAAACAACGTGGCCTACAACCGAGATAAACCCAGGGTACTCTTTTTGAGCGTGCAGTTCGGCGAGACAGGCTGCAATACACTGTTTTTGCAGTACAAACGAAGCCGGCAAAAAAAAAACGACTAACACAAAACAAACGTTACCACATGTTTAAACTGGAACGTAAAGACGTGAAATTGCGGGAACAATTAACGTCGCCAAAGGGCAAAGAAACGCCTTGTGGAATTACAGCATTGGACTTCGTTCACGTGCTGCTGTCACACTTCACTTCTGCGCTAACTTCCTCTGGACGAAAACATGGCAGTCTCTTGTTCTGACTAACCGCGCTAGATAAATCATGCGCGATTTGTTGATTCTAATGATTTTCACTTGCAGCATAGTTCCAGGGAACTTTAATTCAATCAGTCCTGGGATGCTTTGGAGGACCTAGATTCTCTAGCAGCCCTTTAATCGCAGGGAAGAGTGGTAGCTTTTTTATCAAAGCCAATCTTACGTCATACTAACGGTTTCTGTTCTAATGTTAAGAAGACGTCGGAGATTGTAGTTTATCGGTACGAGTTCAGCTATTCCTTCTTGTGTACTGCTGTCAGCAGGACAATACTTAGGAACAAGGCACAGTGGTTTACCAGCGATCTCAGCCATGAACTGCGACCAACGCATTTCGCGTATATCAAGTCTTTTAACTTTCTTAAGCAAGGCAACCCTGCTTATCCGAAGGTGTTCAAGGACGTCAGATAGAAGAACATAATTTCGTCGCCTGAAAAGAGGTATAGGAATGATCAGAAAAAAGTACTACCCCGCGACTAAATTTGTCAGGTAGACCGCCTTTATACAAGAACCTTATTAGCCCAAAGTTTGAAACAGGTGCGTATTTCAATTCTACTTGACATTCATGACGTAAGGTTGATTTCCAGTGCCGCGTAATTTTTACGTGCGTACGTGCGTAAAATTTACGTTCGCAAATAAAATAGAGGCAATATCGTAAAAGATAAACCTAGCTCAACTTCTCGTTTTAAGTTGAGCACTCTTTATCTTGCCTCTATTTTATTTATTTACGTGCGTTAACGTGCGTAGCCAAAAACGCGTCAGTGGAAATCAGCCTTTAGACTTCGTCCACACGTATCCGTTTTTGTTTGAAAGCGGAGATTTTTTTCTCCCGTTTTTCTCCCGTCCACACAGATCTAGTGGAAACGGTCACTGAAAACGCATCTTTTCAAAACTGCTCCCCAGATTGAAGAGTTTTTAAAACGCCGTTTTGCTGTACTCGTGTGGATGGGAGTAGTGTAGGAGCTGCTCGTAAGGTCTCTCCTAATTGGTTACAGGAAACAATGACATGTCATTCTTCTAATTGTTTTAGTATTGTTTGGGGTCAGGGAAACGCACCATTGGTAACTTCTCTTCCGTGGATGGATGAAAACGGAGGGTTTTGAAAACAATTACGTCACTGTGCTGGGTATCAGTAAATGCGCATGCTGTCATCAAAGATGATACCGTTTTCACTTGTTACTGCGTTTTCGTGTAGACGACAAAACACGATTACAGTGCGACTACTGTAATAGGGGTCACTTAAACAAAGTTAACCAATCGGATTACAGTAATGTAACAATATATTCCAAGAAAGTTGTGTGTCGGCCAATCAGCACCTCGTAAAACAAAAGACAAAAAGTTACTCGAAGCACAAAATGCAATATTGATAGCAAACGTTTTTCAGGAAAGCAAAATGTTTCACCAGACAATGTTTTTCCACTCGAAACTTTGCATACAACACCCAGGGGACATATTTCTTGGTCATCTACCAGCAATTTCTTAGCTCCTAATGTCACGCTTTGCAATAACATGCGACCGCAAATCAAAAATATAACTACCGTTTACGTTTTTTGCCTCCATCACTCACTCTAACGAACCTCTCGGGAAACACGTTCTTTCTTCAGCGGGTTCAAAAGGCCACATTTGTAAGTTGTAATTGGTTGATTTCGACCCATGTTTATTTCGTTTCGTGGTAAATATGATTGACAACTAACTTTCTCGGAATGTATTGTTATTTTCCTGTAATCTGATTGGTCAACTTTGCCGGTCTAGGTGGTCCCGGTTCTAGTAGTTGCACTGTAAAAAAAAAACTCTGAAAACGATAAAACAAAATGGATACATGTGCACAGGGCCACGTATACAACAGCAAACCAGTTTCTAAAGTTTAACTCCTCAGTCGACTGGTTTGCTGTATGTTTAACTCTGTTCTATTAATCTTTTGTACTCCTTGATTCATGTTTTATTCTAAGCACCAAGTAAGGAAAGGTTGATTACCCGGAGGTTAATTCTTGACCGGCCATCACCGGAAGGTTGTAGGTTGGAAGGTGTGGTCTGTCGCACATTTCAAACTCTCCCTTCATAGAACTTTTTATGGTCGAAACTCCTTCAAAAATACCATTTGTATGGTCCGTGACATCATCTAATTAAAGCAAAAGTATTTCAAATCAAAGATATAAAGAAGCATGCAAAAACATCAACTACTCTCTTCACTTCTGTGTAGATATGTACGCCTAGGGCCTGTTTCTCGAACGAAAGACAGGGGTGTGGACTAGATCTAGAACGTTTCGTGACGCTTGCTTGTTATGTACGAGTTCATTCAAATGATAAGCACCATTTTGATCGCATTTTCCACTGTTCTCCAACGCAGCACGTTATTTGTCCCGTGAGCGTTGGGTGACTTTCTGTTGTTGTACACAAGTCCTTTCAAATTACGTCCACTTTTTGGTCGCTTTGATCGCACTTTCTCCTAGTCTCCAACGCAGCACGATATGAGCTCGTGAGCGTTGCGAGACGCTCATTTTTTGTGCACGAGTCCTTTCAAATTTCGTCCATTTTTTTATCGCTTTGATCGCACCATTTCTCCGGTGCAACACGTTATTTGTCTCTTGCGCGTTGCGTGACGAGACAACCACCGGCTGCTTAGGAGACTACCTTGCTATTCTTGCAAGTCTTCCTCTTCTTTGAAATCAAGGATGGCGAGAAGAAAATTTACTGAGCGCTACCTCGCTACGATGCGCCTCATGGTGGACTACGAGAGATCTACTCATATCATCATATGTCCCGTCTATTATCTACAAGGTAGAACGCGGACAAAAAAAAAGCATAGAAAAAAAAATTACCAAACAGGGCAGAAGATCCACCGAAGTCCCAGCAGCCCTAAAACAAAAGCCGTAAAACAATAATTCAGAATAGGATCTTGTTAAGTCAGAGCGATTGACACTATTTTTCTCCTAACAATAGGGAGTTTACGCAACGACCACGGGGACGGCTATGAAAACGTCACTTAAAAAGTGAATTCGCGCTGCCTCAAACTATATCGCGCTTATTCCATCTCGTTTAATTCGCCATTTGGCAAATTTGTTTGGAGTTGAATTCTAAAGGACTGCATCAAAGTTCAGGAAAAGAAAAAGAAAGCTGTTGCCTTTTGTTCCTGTCCTCGACAAAACGTTGTAGTCGTGCAACGACGGCAGAGAAATGTGTAAAAAAGCGTGATGCACTTGCAACGTTAGACTTTCAAAAACGTCCTTCGTCCGATTTGATATGCGCGGGACCTGCCGTCGTCGTCGTCGTTGCGTAAACTCCCTAATATCAATAAAGCATCAAGAGAAAAGGCCATAAGAAATAATTAAACAATCACCAAGGAAAATGCTTTGAACTTTAAACAAATCCTCTCAACTAGTCCTTAAAGAAATGTATCGAGATTAGTCTGGATAATGTTGGGGCTCAGTTAAAAAGTTAAGTCAAGCTCTGTTTCACAGACATCTTAAAGCATCGCAAAGAACAAGTACTCACCTCGCCTTCATACGCAGACGCTGAGGGGGTAGTCAGGTCAAGATCCTCGAGAACACCTGACATAAAACATGGAGGGCTTAGGAAATGACAATACTTTAATTTCATTAACTCTGACGATAGCTCCGATTACCCGAGAAGAACCCAAGCAATCAACTCAAGTATTCAAACCATTTTCCCAAGACAAGCGTGTTAAAAGGCGCGGATCCAGATTTACAGATTGATGAGATTGTAAGTTTCGCACTCCACTAGACGCTCGCGACTTGCTGACAAACGGTAACGATTTTGTCTCGATCCTTGCGTATCTAAGACTACATATCACGAGTCACGCACCTTCAAGGAAAGCCCTTGTGTTTGGTTCTTTGGCACAGCTAAGTGCGGTACTCCCAGAATACGTTGCGAGTAGTGGGTCTGCACCGTATGACAATAACACTCTAAGCACAGCCACGTGACCACCTTCTGCCGCATCGTGAATTGGCCTAGAACGAAGTGAAATTTCAGCAACACAGTAAATGTTACAGCAGATTCATCAGCCGTCAGAAGCTACCCTTGGGTTTCGGGTCTTCCACGTTATTATGATGCTTTGATAATCAAAACGAAAGAAAGCCATGGGAAGAGGAAGGTTTTCACAATTTTGTTCTGAAGAGCGCTCTCGTATCTGTTCAATTTGATATCGTCTGCTATCAGCTACAAAATCCCTACCCGTTGGGGTAATATCGGGCAGACTTGAGAACGCGAAAACGTGTAGTTGTTAGTTAAAATTGTTTTTAGTTTAAAATTGATACCAATTCGTTTTCACTCCAAAAGAAGAACGATAAGTTGCGAGACCAGATTAGAAATCTGTTAATTCTTTCTTTGCTTTGTTCAATCGTTAATATATAGACAAAAGTGTACAAAAAGGAATAAAATTAGTCCCTGCACGTAAATTGACTGGCCCGCCAAGATTAGCACTAGCTTCCCGCGGGCTGGTACCCTTTTGCAACACTTAAATTTAGGAAAAATAAATAGTTTTGTTATTGTTGTTGTATTCGTGAAATTTCCTAAGCAATCATCGGAGTTTGACGCAAGAGGCAATCTTGAACTTTCAATACGCCCAAATTCAACAAACGTTCATATAAATGCCTTAGAAAACACTAGTTATTCATTCTCTAAAGGATGATTATCGACCGATGAAGAGCCCAGGTCTCTTCTATATAAGACCTTCCTACAGAAAGAATGCTCATCACCCTCTGATCAAGTCATCAAAATAAGAGAATATGAAAAGAACGTAGCAATATCAGCTCTGAAAGTTGAGCTCAGTATAGCAAATAGTTTTGGGAAATCCTCCTTCAAAGACTCAACATTTTACAAAGAATGTACGCGTCATTAATGTTTTTTCCACCTAGCAATTTCGCAGTTTTTGATGGTTTCTATTTCATTAGATATCGATTGCAAAGAACTGAAAATTGTATAACTTGCTCAGGATAACCAGCTCTTAATCTTTTGAACTAAACTTGTACATACGGTGATGCCTTTAATTAGTCAAGTCCTACAGTGATAGGCGAAAAAGTGAACAATAACGTCAGCAAAGATACGCCTGTACATAAGACTCACCTTATTCCGTCATTTGAGCACGCATTGACATCGGCACCATATTTGGCTAAAACTTTGACAACGTCAACGTGTCCTCTGGAGCAAGCCTCGTGGAGCGGGGTCCATCCTGCATTGTCTTTAGCATTCGGATCGATACCTTGGTGGATGTGGTGCCGCACTGTCTCCTACGAAAAACATACGTTACCAAGTAATTATAAATTTATCATTATTATTTATTTACCCTCGGCAGTATTTATAGTATAAATGTAATGCTAGTGGCGCCGAGCAAATGCCTGACACAGATAACTTAAATCAAGCTTAAGAGGGTTAAGAATAGCATCTGGCTGGAGGCAAACTAGCTGGCTATTTACAAGCGTGGCCAAGGATTTGAACTCGGGAAAACCATGAACAAATCCAGCTAGAGGTCAAAACGGGATTTGAAGTCAGGGCCTCCGAATTGCAAGTCCGGTGCTCTAAAGCGTAATGGTCTTAAAAGTTACCCAAGGAGATCAATAGACCAATTTCGATATAGTAAAATTCACACTTGGCTTGGCGGAATAAAACAAAAGAAATCGCTTTGAGGCTCAGAGATGAATACATTTCTTTTGTCTTATTTATTCGAGCCTCGGAGCCAAGTAAGAATTTTAATATGTCGAAATTGGTCTGTTCGTGCTGAATCGAACAGGAGCTGAAATATTGAGTAGACCACTGGATTCAGAGACGAAGCGCCAAAACACTTCGCGACGATATCACGGTGGAAGTCCATAAAGTGAAACCTTCCCACTAGTAACTTTAAAAATTGTAATTTACTTATTACGTGGATCTAGTCATAGGGCGAAATCTCTTTCACATTATGTTGACACAGTACAGAGTACTACATGTTCTATAAACAACGCAATACTCACATGGTAACCTAGCCTGGCCGCTTTATGTAGAACGGTTTCCCCTGTATTACGATTCACATTCAGCTTCCTGGCTTCTAAAATGAATAATCAAGAGAAAGAAGTTAGAGAAACGCCCAAGCCAACGAGTTTATTTCTAAGTCAAAATTAACTTTACCTTTAAGGTTTTCATCCTCCTTTATACTCTGCGGGAATAAGACAAAAGAATGAAAGATTAGCCAATCAATAAAATAGCACAAATTATAAAGTTATGGCGATGAGTTCATTCCAGTGCCTCCGAAAGCTGGACGAACGGGTAGGGGCAGAACTACGTTTTGCTATAATTTCCTTGGAAAACGATCTTTACAGTGGTTCATCAAGAGACTATCTTTACCAACCAAAATTACAAACATACACACAGTTTCTTGACAGAGCTACACTCGTTAGTGACGATCAAGACTCCAACAACGATGCCAGTGTACTGTAATGGGCAAATTTTGTTTACCCTTATCAAGTGAAAAAATATGCAATACACAATAACAAAAAAGAAAGAGCATGCCAAGAGAGTATGAATGTTAACGTGAAAACAGCACACTCCTCTTTTATAGGACTGCCTAGAATTATGCAGGGTTCGAAATTAACCCTTTAAGCACCAATATGCACTTACAAATTCTCCAGATTGACCTCCATATATTTTCGTAAAGAATTAGTTGAAATAATTTGCTTAAAGATCACATGACTTTTCCTTTGATGATCATTTTATTAAAAGACCTTGTCACGGTTTTCGACGCCATCTTGACGAGCAGGCAAACGCGAGAGAAATTACAGTATTTGTATAAGAATCTAATGTCGAATAATTTCCGTAAAACGACTGTTCTGAAAAAAATATGAATTCTAAACTAAAGTTTCACCCCAAAGGATTCTACTGAAAAAATTCAGGGCCTTACATGTGCTAGAAGACCTAGAACAACTTTTTAAAATTTTCTATACATTTGTCCGTAAGAAAGTCCCAGGAAAAATTACAGACAAATATGTGGAAAATCTAAAGTAAGCCTCTGGAGAATTTTAAGCACAGGTACGCCCCCAAAATTTTGTAGTACAATCCTTTGCTTTGTACCTTTAGTTTACAATTCATATTTTTTTCAGAACAGCCGTTTTAAGGAAATGATACAATCACTGTAATTTCTCATGCGTTTGCCTACTCGTCAAGATGGCGTCGAAAACCGTGACAAGGTCTATTATCAGAAGCTAAAACTCTTTTGTATTTCCTGTGTCGTCTATACTTTCTATAAATGTTTTGAGCAGTTATGTTTATGGTTCGCTCAATTCGGTGACTGGCAATTCCAATGTTTGAATCTCGATAAATTTCGTAACAAAACTCCTTTAATATTGGACAGGTAATTTACCTCTTCCAGGATTTCATCTATTTGCCACTTGCCACGAGCCTTTAGACAGTTCTCAACCAAGTGTTGGACTTCTTTGTTCTCGGCGATTATACTGTTTTTAACAGGTTTTGAATGAACGCTCTCCACCACGAGTAGAGGGAACTCTGATGCTTTGGAAGTCTTCTGTTGTGCATCTGAAGATATTCATTTAAAAAATTTCATTTTAATGTGGCCTAAGCACTTTAAAACTCAGCGACTCTTTTTGAAGCCGAAGAAAACGACCGATATTTCGCGACGCGACCACTGGTTTACCCGCGGAATGACTTTTGTGGAACGGGCGCAGAAATTCCATACTGATGACGTGTCACTACCCAGATCTGGTTAGTGCCTCTGATTGGTTGAAGCCAATTTTCCTTGTAGCTCAACTAATCCGAAGCACTATCCAGATTTGGGTAACGACACGTCATTGGCAGGGAATTTCTGCGCTCGTTTCTCAAACGTCAATTCGCGGGAAAATTAGTGCTGACGCCGAAAAATATCAGCTGTTTTCTTAGACTACTCTTTTTGGGGACGCAAACTAATTTCACAGGCATAATATAATTATTCAGAATCTGAGACACTCAGCCGTCTACCTTTGTAAAACAGACATTACCATTTACAATTCAGATACACATGCACTCCCATACTTCCATTTGCATTCCTCTTTACCATTTAAATTTACATGTATACCTGTCTAGATTTGCAAAAACGTACTTCCAGGATTTTTTAGCAACAGTCTCGCTTGAGGCTTTTCCAGTACTTGACCATTTTTTTTCATTACGTTTTCAGTACAAGAAACCCTTAACAAGCTGCAGTAGACAAAAAAAAACGTGTTTATAATGCCGTTTACATCTTTCCTCACCACGTTGTTCATTTCATTACAAATCTGTCGCTTTTGCCAAGAGCGACTGTTCCTGTGTTTCCAGCGATTAAGTTGTTCTTTTTAAGCCGTAACTAGCGACTTTCAACTGATTTCTATTCACCTCAAGGTCAAATGGTTAGAAAGCACTTGAAATTTCTGTAGGTACCTTTTTATAAATTCAGACAGATATCCTATTCACAGTTTGATACTCAATAACATTCCAGTACCTAATTTTGCATTTGCAATCACATTCACATAACCATACTCCAATTCCCATCCGCATTCCCATTTTACATTTCCATTGGTATTCACATTCTCATTCACGTTCCCTTTACCATTTACATCCATAATCAGTTTTCCATTTAAAAGTTACATTCCCTTTTCCAATCACCTTTACATTCACCTTCCTATTCACATTCTTATTTGCACTCCCTTTCCATTGATATTCCTATTCACATCACTAATAATATTCCAGTTGCATTCACATTCCCTTTTTCACTTATATTTACATTCACATTCTTATTTGCAACTCGCTTTCCATTCATATTCACATCACTAATCATATTCCATTTGCATTCACATTCCCTTTCTTACTCACAATTAATGGGCCGTCATAAAGATTTCTAGTCTCCAGGTAAATACAACAAGTGGGTTGAGAATCAAACTGCTAGGGATTTCTTTTGTTTCTATTTTTTTTTCTATGAAAGTAGCCAGGGGTCAGGTTCATTGTAGCCGGGGGAAATCCCTGGCCCCCTGGGCATAGTAGGGAGCTTAAGCAACAAGGGCGGCGACGGTTACGAAAACGTCACTTAAAAAATGAAGTCGCGCTGCTTCAAACTTTACCGCGCTTATTCCATCTCGTTTAATTCGTCAAATGTTGGCAATTTTTTTTGTAGTTGAATTCTAAAGGACTGTACCAAAGTTCAGGAAAAGAAAAAGAGAGTTGTTGTCGTGTGCTCCCGTCCTCGACAAAACGTGAAATTACGCACTTTGATGTTGGAGTCGTGCAACGACGGCAACGAAATGTACAAAAAAGCGTGATGCACGTGCAAAGTACTAAACCTATTGCTTTTTCGCCGTTTTCGTTGCCCGTCGTCGTGGTAGTGGTGCTGGTATTACCTTCATCAGTTTGCTTGCCCTTTCCTCGGGTTCGCGACTCCAGTACGACTGGTTTAAAGTCCTAGTAGACAGAACATAAAAAAAGAAAACATCATCAAGTTGCAGGAACCCATGACAGCAACCAACTAGTCAATCAACAGATCGTTTGTTAGTACTGTATATTCAACTGACGAGTCACACAGCGTAGACCACCGTACGTTTTGTAAAGGGCTGAAGGTTTCATAGCTTCGAGAAGCCTAACAGCCCTTATGCATGTTTACGTCCGACGATCAAAATTCACCACCAAGCCTTGTTTTAAAATGGAAAGTTGCGAAGTTCAGCTGTATTAATGAAACCCCAAGGCAGAGGAGTTGAAAAGAATACCCACGCAGAAAGAGTGAAATGCGAAGAATCTTGCTTACAAACGAAGCTTGGTGGTAAAATTCGCACATGCATAAGGGCCACTGAGCCCTTATGCACATCTTCTGTTACCTATTTTTATAACATGATGAGGTTTTTAACAGGAGTAAACTGTCACTGCGTGAAAAACTTAATCAATAAACAAACAAATAAATAAATTATGGCACAGTTACATGTACGTACCCTAAATCCTTGGTAAGCAGTCACAAGCATGTATGTCTTGATACGATGCGACCTGTCTGGCTTTGCTGAATGGAAAACGCAAATGTTAATATTTCATGTAAACTACTGATTTCACCAATTTTTGGTTTGAAGGTTAATGGCAACATAACAGACCTTAAGATTGAGGTTTTTCGGCATTTCCCGCGAACCGCGAACATCAAGAAGTCACGTGACTAGTGCCTTGTCGTCAAGTTTGCGGTTTGAGGTTCACGTTTGTAGGGCTAGACCTCGCTCTAGAGGTAAGTGATTTACTGCAAAGATTTTTGCACTTTAAAACATCACAATCCCACGTCCGTGAGAAAATAATACTTTTTAGAACTATTTCGCTGATTAATTATCGAATTATTTTTCATAGAAACGTAATTTTAAAGACGATTTCTCAGCTAAAATAGAAGACAGTGAACGTCTGAAAGAAAACAAACATGCCAGCCACGAGCTATTACCCGCGAATCTTATGTTCCAAATATGGGCAGAGGGGCAACGTGAAACCGCAAACCGCGGTTTGGCGTTTGCGGTAAGACAGTCAAACCTCGATCTTAAGGTCTATATTAGGCAGAGATCGGAACGTCTGCGACAAAGAAGAAGCGGGAGGCTGGCAAAGTATTCCACACGTATCCCGCGGGCTGATTACAGGCAAAAACTACATGTTGTCAAACAAGAACACAAATATGACTACAGGCAACTTACCAACGCCGGTATTGCTGGGCTGAGCTACCTCCTGCCGAAAAGAAAACAAATGCGATGAGAAAACAGCACTACATAACCCGACAGGAATGTAGATATCGCGTACAATAACTGAAAAAACTACTTGAAATTTTCCTTCAGTACATAAAAAACTTTTAAAATTCGCGTATAAAATCGCAACAAGTGCACTTTATGTGTACTGTAGTCTAAAAACAATAAAAGACAAGGCTCAGAGTACTAGGTCAATAAAATTGACATCTCACAGGCATTTTAATTTTCTAAATTTCGAACGGGTGGCCGTATTAACGGGGTGAAATTATAAGAGATTCTACTGTTTGGGATTTTAAAATGTGGCCGTTGGCCGTATAACGGGTGACCGCATTACCGGGGTGTTTTTAATAGGAAATGTATGGCCATTTTGCCAGGCCGAAAAAAAGTGACCGTAATAACGAGGTGACCGTATTACCGAGGTGGCGGGGTTCCACTGTATCATTTTTGTGTTGCAAAACTAGCCAAAAGTGCAAATTATGCTAGCAGTGCTTTTTTCGGGAAATACATGAAAATTAAGCTCGTAATGATGAATTAAGCCAAAACGCCTTCTGTGGTGACCTATAAAGAGACACTTCATGTAACACTACATAAACTGACCTGTTTTTTCACCTTGAGTGGTTCTAACCCTTCTTTGAGACACTTGGCTACCTTCGTCCTCATATCCGGGTATTCTGTGTGTAAGGATCTCTTGACTGAAGTGGTTTCTGGAAGGTTTTCTTTTCTGTTTGCCTTCAAACCACGGGCTAAAACGAAAAGCTTTCATCAGTACAGTTTGCCAGAACACAATTTTCAAATTTCAACACAAAAGATAGAGAAAATATATAAGCTGTCAAGCTAAGCATAACTTACTGTCACTTGAACTTCTTCTCACTTTTGCTGGATTAGTATCCTTTGAGGGGATAAAAAGGATGCGTGAGCATTTATTCATTTTTTACCATAGGAAGAATAGCTTTCGTTTCTTTTCGGGGACCGTCGTAATGTAGAGAATAACTAACTGAATGCAAGAGCACAAGTTGACGAATTTACGCGACAACATGACCAATGTATGCGCCAAATGGAGAAAGTACAACAAGATTAAAAACGTGAATCATTTTTAGTTCTTTAATGAATTATTCTAGCTTGAACCTGTGGTATAAACTATATGTTATGTTCTAAAATCAAGAAAAAAGTACTAAAAATGAGTTTACATGTCTCAATTCCGATATTTATTGTTCGTGGCTAAAAGATCTATCGAGAAATGACCAGTATTTTCAGCAAAACAGACCGATTCATAATTTTGTTAGAGGAAAATCTCTCTAAAATCTCGCGAGGGAAGAATGTTACTATACTGATTCATATTTTTTTTAAGAGGAAAATCTCTCTAAAACCTCGAAAGGAAAGAATGTAAATGCCCTGACTTCAATGAACTATGTTCACGACAGAGAGACGCAATTAAATTTGCTTGACCATGCCTACACTGCAAGAATGGATGACAGTTTTGAGGATTTGCTGACGCTTAGCGAAAAAAAGCGATGAACGAATGTGGATATACCGATTCACATTTTTTAAGAGGAAAATCTCTCTAAAAACTCGCGAGGAAAGAATGAAAATGCCCTGACTTCAATGTACTGTGTTCAGGGCAGAGAGACGCAATTAAATTTGCTTGACCATGCCTACACTGTCAGAATGGATGACAGTTTTGAGGATTTGCTGACGCCTAGTGAAAAAAAAAAAAAAAAAAAGGAGAGCAGAGTGAATTAATCTTTGCCTAATTTAACACACAACAGAACGTGAATTTTCGGCTCTTTCTAAAATTCAGCACCTTCTTCGCGCAGAAAAACAGAGGTGGAGCAGAGGCGGAGCAGAGCTGGAAAACACGGCTTTTTAAATTCAAATCGGCGCACGCGCGAACATTGCGTGAGCATCATAAAAACGAATCTGATTGGTTGATCTACGGCGCGCGCATTTTTGACCTTGCCATGTCACAAAGGACAGTTGGTTTTCAGCAAAGGACAGTTGGTTTTCATTTACACTTCTGGGAAAAATATTTTCATGTTGCCGTGACGGAAAAGCTAGTTTAATTCTCTAGGAAACGCTTATAGTTTTTTCAAAGACGAAAAGAAAAGGAGGAATAGAAGGTACGTCAAACCTCTCTTTCAATCTTAATTTATATTTTGAAACTTGCTTTGAAAAAACGGACAACGGCTTTTGCTAACGATCGACCCACAAAACTCTGAGCTTTGTGCCTTCAAGCTTCCCTCTGAGGGATGTTACTAAAACGAGAAACGAGAAACGGTGAACGGGGAACGAAGAAAGCGGACGGGGAACGGAAAAAAAGGCAAAAATGGGAACAAAACAGAGAATTGGAAATAAAGTCACTGACAGGGCTGGGGTTCAAGTTAGGTTTTCTTCCCATTTTTTCATTTTCCCGTTCCCCGTTTTACACAACACCAATTTCACGAAACTGAAAAAAAAAATGACAGAAAACTTGATAACAATATGGACTGAGAAGTTATGGTTCCTCGTCACCTAGCGTAATTTCGCTTGAATGCTCTGAAGAAGGACTAGAGCTGGAAAGGAAAGATTTTTCAATATCTTCTTAGGGTAAAGTGGTAAATTCCCTTTATCGCCTCAGTTGATAAAACATTTGTTTCGCGTTCTTCTATCCCACGAAGACAACCCTTCATTTTTAAGTAACTAAGGGTGGATCCGCAATTGTGCGTGAAGCATCTAACTCTAAAAATTGTATGGTGACAATTTTTATTTTGAGAAAATTTATCCGCACTTGAAATTATTTACTCTTAACAGGCTGTCACATCTGTCACTACTAAATGGAAAAATAATGGCTTTGCAACAAATGATTGACAAGAAAAACCCGTTTTCGTTCATTAAGTCGACTTTGCCCAGTTTTTACAAGGAACAAATTTTGTCCGAGGTGCTTTGGAAGATTGTCCAGTGTAAGGCAAAATTTGTAACATCGCAACAAACCATCCGCATTTGTAAAGCGTTGGTGATGACCGAAAATTTGGTTAAATAACGGCCTTTTTGGTTGTGCGGATAGACCCCTAGTCTCCTCATTATTTTTTGAGCGATGCACATCAATAGGAAGTCGACTTTTCGCATTCTTGGACAGTGGCTTTGCCAAAATTATCGGCCGCATCGTCTCGAAAAGAGTTAAGACACCTGGCAATAGAAATTTGCTAGCGTCACGGAATATTACCAGTGCAGATGTCTCACTTCCGGTTGATGTCCGTCGCTCTAAAAAAACCTTTGCTTAAGCTTCCAACATCTCAACAAATCGAAACTCGTTGTCGTCCGTTTGTGCTTGATCGTGATATATTTTATTCGGATTTTACTCGATTGGGTCGAGTCAGTATCGGCTTGTTAATATTCTGAGAAGCGTTAATGGCGATTTCAACAGTTAACAGTTACAGTTGTAAATACAAATTCTCCGAAAAATTAACACATCAAAAGACCTTCAGCGATCGGTTGATTTATATGAATGGGGATGTCATCGCGGTGAACAATGTTTCCCGCAACGATACGCTTACCAAAACACCTTGATAATGTCCACTAAATATTAAATATAGTTACCGTATTCTTGTTATTCGGTAAAAACGTTTTCGTTCGATGTACATCTGTTGGTTTGAAGACTAAAGCGCGTTTGTCTGTAAAAGGAAATTTGGAATATCACGAAATGAATAATTAATAGAATCAGCGGGTGCAAACAAAATGATGCTAATAATTCAAAATGACGCGGTATGTAACGCAATTCTCGTCACACAAGGCCCGAGGGCATCAAGGAATAAAGACAAAAAGGGAAAATTCTGTTGAAATTTACCTGCATCATCGGACTTTCGTCTGTTTTTGGGTTGTTCAACCTGGTGGTAAAAACAAAATTACAAAGTTCAGTCAGTTTTTTAGCTAGTCTGATCACTTCACTAACTGCACATCAATTACGTCCACACAAACACCAAAATAATTCAACTCAGTTGTAAAGCCTTACATTCTCAGGTTTAGAGTTCGATCTTTTTCGCTTGACAGGTTGCGCCTCTTGGTTTTCGCTACTTTTTACCGATGAATCGTCTTCTTGCCCTAAAAAATGTTATCAAAGTACAACGGCCACTCAGATTAAAGACAAGACTGATCAGGAGCACCCAACGACGGTTTCCTCCTAAATACATTGAAAACACTTTTTAGGCTATCCAGAGTACTTTTAGATATCTAGAAATGCATTCTAAGTGTCGCTATAAAATTTCTATCTGTTCGGTCGTCCTAGGGGAACTTGAGTCTTTTCGAAATTACAAGGGCTTGAGTATTATTTTTCCGAAAATTTTAGTTGAAATTTGGCGTACTTCGAAAGTGAAACATTTTCTGATTCCTAACGCCATCATATTTTTGAATCCGAAAGTTTTAGGTTTCCTTTTTTTCTACGAAAAATAGCCTAACTTAGGAAGGAAAAGGTGAAAATTAAACTTCAGAAAATCGTAGGGAATATATAAGATAAACTTCGCAAATTGTACATGAATGGAACGATCATCTAGAAATTTTTAGCCGTTCTCAAGTAGTAGTAGAAAATTCACGGCAATATTTCCTTCTCCGAACAGATATTTCACAGAAAACAGTCGTTGGGTGCCTGTAACTGATGACATCTGTACACACCACCACACTCTTTATGGACAAAACCAGAATCACAAAAGAAATAAAATACGACAACGTTTATGACTTGATTGTCAATCTGATTCTCAATCTAAGTCCAATGTTAAGTTTTGACTTGTACCATTAACACTTTGGGAAACGAATATAGAGACGTTTCACAACATATAATTGTAAGGGTCATAAACTTCGAGAGCTAGCACTCCTTGCTAAAAATTATTTAGGAGTAAGGTGTTTCCAGTTTTGATAACGGCTTACAAAACTTGCTTCTAAATGTGTTTATTCTTCTGTGGGGTCTTTACATATTTTCCCAAGAAAATCGGGACTAAAAACTCCGCAGTGTTTTAATCAGTTTTAAAAACACCCATCACGTTTCAATTTCCATGGTATTTTCTTCAGGGGCTATGAATGAAAGCCTTAATGAAGATTACAATTACTACGTAAGTACCTTGAGCCTTGATGGTCATGCTTTTTCTCTGAGAAAACCAAAGCCGCTGCAAAACAAACAAATGTTGGTGGGAAAAGACGATTAACACCACGGATATGCTCAGAAAGGTCTGAAGCAAAAACACTGACTCGTCTTCCTTTTTTATTTAAACTGTGTAATTTAACTGACGATTGACAAATCCACAAAGCAGTGGAACCGAAAATAGGCTCCTACATTCCACCTGAACGTACTAGAGAGAAAAAAGAACGAGTGTGATGACTTGATTGGTTATAAGGTTTTCAGATAAATCATCGGCCCTCAGTGTCATTACATAACACTTACAACAACGGTTTATACTAACTTTGCGTTTAAACTTCTTAAACCAAACTTTTGTTGCTGCAAATGAAGCAACAAAAAAAATTGTTAACCCCTTACGGCATAATGATAAAAAGCCTCTACAAGGAATTTTAATCTAAGCTTAAGAAGCTTAATGCGTTCTAAATTTTACGTTAAACTCTACAAGGTTGAACCTATTAAACTGAATAAAACTTTACGTCGGACCTGGAAGCAAACGTCTGACCTTCAGCAAAGTCAAAGACTTTATTTTAACGCAAGTCGATGGCAGATACTTCCGACGCTACGTTTAATGCAAGTGGCCTTAAAGGGGCTGTGTCACGGCAGTCCAGTTCATTTTGTTTAATTTTGCCAACTACTCGCCCTAAATCGCTATGGAACTTAAAGTAAGCAAAGAAATTACAGGTAAATCACAAAATCAGAGATCCGAGACAAACAAATATGTCTCCTGAGCATTATTTTTGAAGTTGCAAGCAGCAGGGATCAACTTTGAAAAACTGTTGGGCTGAATAGTTTTCAAAAACCCTAATTTCAATCCGTTTCAATCTTCTTCAGTTTTTTCCCATCCGTGGCATCTGTTGTTTCTGTTATGTTAATTTAACCTTCCTTTAAAGTTTTAAGCGTCTATTTTTATGTTTCTCTTAATTTAAAGGGCATTTTGTAATTTCCTAATTTGGCTGAATTTCGTGACACAGCTCCTTTAAACAGGGTAGTTCCCAGTCACCCGAGATAGATGCAACAAGAACGCACTGCATCAATGGAAGCCCGGACGAATGTGGGGGACTGGAGACGACTCTGGTCTCTAGAACAGTATGGACAAGGGAAGAAAAGGGGGATATACAAGAGCAGTGACAAAAACGGCTGCATTTATTATCACCATTATAATTGCCATTTATTTGTCAGTTTTAACTAGCTGAACTAAATTTTGTCATAGCTGTGTACTCTACGTGAATGTAAAGTGTTGACAAATCATGCAAATTTATGTACAAAATTGTTGCGACCAATCTCGATATACAGCTCAATCAAAAAGGGTTGCTTTGGTAATCGGTCACTGGTAATTTGGCATTGCGCCTTTGGGCATATCGAACAATTTACTTGAGTGACCACCAATCAATAGCTTCCCAATGCCCAAAGCTCAATTTCCAATTACCAAAGCAACCTTTATTGAATCAGCTATCTTTCACTTCATACTCATCTCCGAAAGTAGGGGGAATGATACAACGAAATCATTGGGGTCCAGGGATAAATGATGCGTTGCTTTTGTTTTATTCCCCTACGCCTTAGAGTAAAGTTTAAATTAAAATACATCCAAATTGGTCTTAAACTGCACAGATTGTGGGTACTTAGGCGTAGTATTGCAAGATAAGTATTAGCTGACGATGAATGAACTAGTACAAAATGATTTCAACAAAGGATAGATACTTTACCTGTCTGTGTCCTGGTGTCATTAGTTACAGCCTTCGATTTGTCCTATAACAAAATTTTAATTGAGCAACCTTACAATTTCTCACAAAATCTATGTTTGTTGATGAGCCTAGGTCGGTTACAATTAAGATAAACACAAAAATACGACAACAATAGTGTAATTTGAAATAAAAGTTATACACACTTCTTACTAACCAAGTTTGAGGTCTCACGGATTTGTCACATCTCTGACATAAATCAGGCGCGTGGGAAAAAGAAACATTCAAATCACGTGGGCCTTACTGTAAAATACGGCACGCAAAATTGACCAATCACAGCCCGTCACCGACTGACTAAGAGATATGATAAGCAATGTACGAAGTGCACTAAGGAAAAGTCAAGGTATATTCTTCATCATTTTCAAAACCAAGGTTTATTATGATCGCGATTTTTGTGCTTTTGTTTATCTATTTTTTTTTTTCGGTGTGAGGGGTCCGTTGTAGCACTTAATTTCGGACAATTAAATTCGTTCCGCGCTATTCACCAATCGCAATTATGCTTTGTTAAAAAGCTCGTTTATTGTTTGTCTCACGATAGTCACTTTGCTATTGACCGCGAGTTTTCGACCGCGTACAACTGATCTTCATCAGGTGTCGATTCGCAGTGCGGGACCGTTAAATCAACGTACTAGTAAGCGGGATCTTGATTATATCTACACTATACCCTAATAAAGACCTGCAGTACAAGGTCGAAACTTTGCGATAAAGAACAAAGTGACTATCCGAGGTGCGCCAACCGATGTACTTATCATACTCATACCACGATTAATATCCTTTCATGGAGCAACTACATGAGATGCAAGACCGTTTTTGAGGGCATTACGATTTCAAGGCACGTTTGGCTCGTGGATGAAAGGGAAAAGAAAGAAATGATTTGAGTGTTACATTTGAATAGATATAAACTTTGAGTGGTGACTCGTTAGTGGATGAAAAGAACGTGAAATGAGTTGCTTGAGTGTTAAGTGTTCGGTCGATTCTGTAGTTAAGCCTAAGATATTGCACCGCTTTTTTGCCGTTCTCCTTGCCGTAAAGGTCGTTTTGATTATTAAAAGGAACATGGTATACAAAGATGGGTAGATTTGTGCCATTTATCCCCTCATTACAGGGATTATCTGTCCGAAGCACATGCTCTTAGCATACAGAGAAAGATGAGACAAAATAATAGGTGGATCCTGTATGTTGAAGGATTCTGTCTTCGACCTCTTCCGGGAATGAAAGAGTCAAGACCCAGCTGACTAGTACAGTATACGTGAGCAGATAGAGAGGATGACCAACGAGGTAACACAAAGTTGCAAATACTTTACCTTAGGACGTTTCCTAAGACGTCTCTTTAAAGAGTCTTTCTTTTTAATCTCTTTAGCTTTCTCCTTCATTTCCATCTCACTAAACTGCATCATCGCTCTTTGGAGCGCTCTTTCCTCCCGCGTTAACTCGCTGGGATCTCGATACAAGTCCCCAGCGGCGCCACGCTCGCGCACGGGTGACGGAAGTCTGGGTTCCAAACGACGGATCATTGCACTGTTAACTTTTTTTTTAGAAACGTCTGTCTCCTCATCACTTATCTTTAAATCTGTGCTTTCAGGTGTTTTTGCCGTGGAGCAATAATCAGTACATTCCTTTGACGAGGCGCTTGGTGTAATAACGCTTTCTGATTCGCCATTGCATAATAAGGATGAATTAACATGGTTCTCAACCGTTTCGGGAAAAGTGCCCTCACACGAGTTATTACTTGATTTTGTGTTTGGCGAGCTCAGTACCGTAAGAGGGGACTCGCAACGCAAGTACCTTTCAATGTCGGGGCTGTGTGCTGATTCCCGCAAGGCGCATTCATACGATTGATCAGCGAGCTCCTCCTCTACTGAGCCCCTGCTTCCAAGGCCCGTTTTCGTATCAAAAACTGATCTCCGTACTCGAAGCGGCGAGCTTAGAGTCTCACTCTGTCCATTGTAAGCAACTATGTGATGATGGACACGCGGTGAGGTGTCTCTCCCTCCAGTGGGAGGAGAGACAGGCCGAAAACTTCTCTCCCGGAAATCTGGCGAAGGTAGAAGCTTTTCTCCGCAAATCAAGTTCTGTTGTTTGTCATGTGATAGAGTGTTTCCCTCCAGAGAATTCAAAGTAATCGGCGGGGTCAAAATTCGATTGGCAACGCGGGGTGGTCGAATTCCGACCTGAGCATAAACTGGTAAAACTAGTTTAAATCCCGAGGAAGATGAGTGTCCCTTCAATGTTGAACGAACTTCTTGCATCTGTGGAGAGGCTGAAGATTGCAATTCATTATTCAAAGTCTGCAGTTGCGCAGTTCTTACAGCTGCGACGTAAGTATTCGGGGGCGGCGGCACGGCACTGATGAACGGACCAATCAAATGAGTCGCCGCCAAGTTTGTATGAGCATGTTCTTCGCTGGGTTTGTCCGCAGCCATGTGTTTAATCTTCGCTACTGCATTTGGTTGAGTGTACATTGAATTGGCATTTCTCGCAGGGTTGTTTCTGTTAACAGTTGTACCGTTCACTGTGTAGTATCCTGACACCATTTCTCGATTATTCCCGGCCAGAGAAGTTTGAACCTCACTTTGGTAGCTAAGAGGTGTCACGGAAGGAAATATTACGTTAGCGTTCACTTGGGATACCTCTGAAGGCGTCACAGCTTGCGCACCGATTGGTTTGAGCTGACCATTAACAATTCTCGCCGTAATGGTGTTGGCCGCCGACGGAGGTGCGCTTGCCGGCACAACCTGTTGAAAAGAGCGATTGCAGGCGACACTTTCATAACCCGTTCTCAGAGGGCGCACAACAGTAGACAATTTATTGCCTGTTTCCTTGTTTATAGCAGTAAGTTGACGAAGTTTGTCAGAGAAAGGAAACTCTCCGTTTCCTTCTCTTGTCATCTTCTGTTGAGCTAGGCTGTCGATTAATGAGTTGATCCTCACACGCTCAAACAAATTGTTCTTCTCTGCGACGTCACCTGAAAGCAAAGTAAAAGGGAAAATGACTGCTGGCGTTAAGCTTTATGGCCACGCCCACACGAATTCAGGCACTTTAGAGACCACACAGTTCGCTAACCGGAATTGGGGGACAGAGCCCTAAACCACTTTGGAGAGCGGTTTGAAAAAGAAGAGGTTTCGGTGAGTGGATTCACTGGTTTCGTGTGGAAGGTTGATTCGTGTAAAAAAATATGCGATTTCAAAAATATCCAGATTCCTGGGCGTGGCCTAAGCGACAGTTCACACGGACTTTTTACAATGCTGATCGTAACTAAGGACTGAGAGGGTCGGCTGTCCCTTGGTATACAGTATAGTCGAACCTCCCGTAAGCGATCACCCAAAATGCAAAGACTGACTGGTCGCTTATGGGAGGTGTTTGACCCACAGGGGTCTCTTCCGAGAAGAGGTCCAGGCACATTTACTTTATGGAAGATAATTTATTGCATGCAATGTCTATGTTAGGATATGTGTAGTTCTATGTTGTCACTAGAGTTCTTTGTATATTCTAAGTAACATAGTACACACAGCAAAAAGAGAGATCAGAGAATGCGTCAAGTGGTCGCTTACGAGAGGTTAAAAACAATGGCATTAACCGTCAGGCTCAAAAAGCGGTCGCGGTCGCATACAGGGGGTGACCGTTTACTATAGATTCCAACTGCAAGGCTCTGACTGGAAAAATTTTAGTGTTTTGGATCGGCGGTCGCTTATGGAAGGTGGTCGCACATGGTAGTTTGACTGTAAATTCATTTACTGATTTACAAGATTATTATCTAGTGGGAAACCGAGAATTGCAATAGTCGGTTTACTTTCCTTTTAAATTGCCCTAATTGGTAACGATTTCCACAATAGTTAGGTAACGAACGCGGGTATTTGCCCCGCTAGAGCTAATAATTACTGCGTGTTTTGGGCAATGTTGAATTACAGCAAGGATTTCGCAAATTGTAATTTGTACTTAGTTCATTAAAAAAGTCTTCCAAATACATTGAAGCCAGTTTGCAGAGGGACTTGAATATCAAGACTGTCTTATGAATGACGAGTAATGTATCAGGTCTCGGTTGTTCAAACCGGCTTTGGATAACAGTGCTATCCACCGGATAAATCACTTTACAGCGGATAAGTATTGACTATTTTCCAATTGCCCATAATACACTCTGTTTGCCCCCCAAATTTTGCATAACTTATTGTCTTAAAATGCTCTTGGGAAAATGCAATATTCCCAGGAGCATTTAAAAACAATGGTTTATGCAGAATTTGGGGGGCAAACAGAGTGTATTATGGGCAATTGGAAAATAGAGAATCAGGGAACCGATTGCGTTATCCACTGGACAGTTATGATAAAAGCAAAGGCAAATAAAAGCGAAGAACAAGGAACTTCCTAGGGTACGCAGTATTAGTGTCGTTATACGAATTGTATGGAAAACAGGGAAGCAAAGATCCATATTGATATTAGTACTTCAAAGCCGTGTTTACTGAGAGCATTCTGTTGAAGGCATTCCAACTGAAAATACAAATTATATAGGTATGAGAAATAAAAAGTCCTTTTATTTTTAGTTTCAAGACGCTGAATTGTAATGGGAAATGTTTGAATCTGATCCAGTAGCTGTGAGAATGATTATTTTGCCTTGAAAATAGTGATAAAGCAGTTTTTATTCATTGTTATTGCAGGATACAGTTACACGTTTGTAATTGAATATACACAAGAAAAATCCAAAAGAGGAGGAACTCGCTGTTCAAAACACTCTATAAACAACCAAGCAATGCGAAGTGGTCACAAGAAAAATCAAACATTTTGTCAATATCCGTATTACAACTACGAACAATGTTTACAGAGGTTGAATCAACTGATTGTGGAATATTAGACCTTGTATTACATTTAAACTCCTAGGGAGAGTTGGTTTTATCAGGAGTCACTCCTGTGGATAACGCTCAAAATATCACAAGTACACAACAGGCAAAACATAAAAACACAAACCTGTCGGTTCCACATTTCGTATCGTTCCATCCAACGGCACAGAAACGTTGTTAGAAGGAACGGCTGTCTCGCTAGAAGTCCTGTGACATTCGCTTTCAACTGCATTGTTTTTGGGAACATGATTTTGAGAAGGAGTGACCGCGGAGCGAAAATTAATGCTGTTTATGTGTTCGAATATCGATCGTTCCTGTCTAACGGCTGACGTTTCTTGCTGGTTACTGTTGTTCATGTTGACAGCTGTCGAGAAATGAAGAAAATCGCATAAAATTAATTAGTCAAGAATGAATCATTCAAGCTGTTGCATAATTTACTGTTACCTTGGTTATGCTGTTTATTTTTCAATATCAACTATTTTGATTCCAAAAAACGGAGAAGCCGCATCAAAAACGTTAAAGAATAGATAAAATATCCCAAAAAGATGAAATAAAATCATTAGCAAAAGAAGGCTTACTTTCAAGTTCTGAACAGACCTTAGGACAAAAAAAAATAAAGAAACGTTCCTCACTTCATTTAATTAAGATTGAAAACCACGCGTGCCATGCAAGGCTTCATTTGAATGGTCAAACCATCAGGCCTCGTTTCTTTGATGAAAAGTTGTCCCGGGAAAGATGATCACCCTCCCAGCCAAGTCAACCTTAGCGAGCGTTTATTCCTTTAAGCCCCAGTAACCACATACAAATTCTCCAAACTGATCTCCATTCATTTCCTTTAAGAATTAGTTGAGAGAATTTGATAAAAGATCATGACATTTTCTCTTTGACGATCAGTTTATTTATTCTCATAACTTCATCACTTGACAATGTATGGACACTGTTAGGAGAAAATTGTTTGTCGATCAGTATCGGCACTTAAAGGGTTATATGAGAAAAAAGGTGACCCCTTTGCCCTACCCGAACCAACAGAGCTCGCGTGTGCTCTGATCGTCACTGAACCAACTTTTTGTTTCTCGTGTAAGTGAATTGCCACGTTTTGCCACAAAATGCATGAAAATTCGACTTCCCGGAGAAGCTCGAGTAGGCGAATTACCCTACTAAATGTGAAAACATTCCTCCATATAAAAATGGCCTAAGATTTCGACACCACTCGGAAGCGACTTCAATATAGCAACTTACCAGTAGCCACATTGCATTCAACACTCTCTGGCACGTTTCTGTTGAAAAGAAGAGAAAACTCATATTTAGGCACGCTTCTGAAAAGAAAAAGAAAATTAGTTACGTTGAACAACAACAACATTAGACGATTCTTCGTAGCTTTATGCACGGGCCTGGACTGGAGTAGCCGTTTCCCCCATCTTTCCGTGCTTCTAAAGGTAAAGGTGAAGAGTCCTCATTTTACGTCGGTAGCTCGAAATAGTCATCTGACTGACAAACCTACGGCGCGCTCATTTAACCTCCCCCCTTCCCTCCCCTCTCCATCACTGCACTGTTTTAAAAGCATTTAAAGCTACTTCAAGCTACACGGAAAGGAAAGAAGTAGAAAAAAGGATTTGAGGTCACACCTGGGAATATCAAACTCGGGATCTCCCGCTCTACAGTCAAGCGCTCTAACGACAAAGCTAAACCTGTCGCGAAGACAAACAACAGAGAGGGAAAGAAAGAGCCTTCTGGACAAGCTGGAATGTAGGCAGAGCAGCATTGGACAAAAAGAAACTTTCGTTTGAAAGAGGAAGGTTGGACAAATAAGCGAGTTACAGTTAACACAACAAACCTGGCAGTGTCTATGAAGTGCTCGACAGATCCGTTGGCAACCTGATTTGAAAGACATCGATAATCATAAGAAAAAAAATTCAGAAATGCAACAATACAAGAAAAAGGTAAGAGAAATAAAGACAAAAAAGGAGAATATTATGTTCATGGTAATAAAACAACATGAATTGTGCTCCCAACGAACTGTTCCCAAGGGAAAAGCCGACATTTCCCACGATTTCAGCTTGCTGGACATGCATGCAATACCGAATTCCAAACTCATGTCCCACCAGTTGGGTTTATTTCCTTTATCTTGGTAGCTATCCAACTCTTCTGGCACTGACGCTTGTAAATATTATTATATTTATTATCATTATTTATTTATTTATTTAGTCACTCACAAAACCTTATACAAAGTGAACAAAAGTTGTTAATTAAATTATAAATTAATTTAATGTGACAAGGAATCCTAACGAAGCTTGAAGCTGATATTAATAGGCTTCCTTCAACCACTTAATGAACTAAATTCATGGCTGAGTGCAGAGTGAGCAAGGTCAGAAAATTAAGCGATAGATCGGCTATCAATGAGATATCTTACTGGTTTGACTTTGTCATACAGGATTTTTTCACCTTTTGTTTAAATAATTTACTTCAGACTCTTGCTCGGCTCCAGTGGCCATTAATTCTAATGGGAAGTTTTCACAGAATTATCTTCCTCACTCTAACGAATATGTGTAATATTGTAGAGCATCATTTTTCTGTCTCTACATAGTTACGGTTCTTATCTCCTTAAAGACCATGACACTTTTTTTTCCTCAATATAATGATGATCTGGGAAGATCTTCTTTATATTTGCGTCTTTATCCCGAAGTTCCAACATATGATGTTTTTAAATTTGTTTTCGTCTCTCTGAGCCCGGAATACATGTACTCACAGTTGACGAATACTTGAAAGTAGTTGACATGTTGCCGTTGCTGAGTTCAGCCTTTTCTTCAGCCGAGTCTGTTCTCTGATTCGTGGATACCTTCATGACACTTTTCTGCTGAAGATGTCTAGAAACAAAACAGAATGAGGGAGTTTTGTTAAAACAGAAGCATGCGTCGCGCTTGTACATAGCAAGGAGACATGGGGCGCTTTCCATTCAACAAAAATTCCGATTTGAAAGTTCAGAAATTTCACGTGCCCAATGGAGCTGTACATTCCGGTTACAAGGACGCGACCCAAGCCACCGCGCGTTTGGTTATTGTTCTTGTAAGCAGGATACAAAAGAGCTGCACTGTTGACAACAATTCTGCCAAATGGAAAGGGACATTTTGGTCCGACCGACCGAAATGACCCGATCGGTCAAAGTGGACCACCTTCAAAGCTGGTCCCCAATATTCCGGTCGGACCAAACCAAAATGGTCCGTTCTATTTGGTGTACCAACCGAAATTTCCGGAATTTTGGGTTGAATGGAAAGCGCCCATGAACTGAGGCTCCGTCTACACGCATCTGTTTATGTCTGAAAAGGGATATTTTTTTCCTCCGGTTTGTTCCGTCCACACGTATCCGGTGAAAACGGTCACTGAAAACGGATACTCTCAAAAACGCTCTCCAGAGTGGAGACTTTTGAAAAAGCCGGCTTTTCGTTTATGTGTGGACGGACGAAAACGGCGGTTTTCGAACACGATGATGTCATACATCATGCCTCTAGCATGACGCATGCTCTGTAATGGATGCTATCGTATCGTATTTCCATCGTTTTAGCGTTTTCATGTGGACGGGCGAAAACGATTCGAATACGCTAAGAAAGGATAATTTTTTTAAAATCTCCGTTTTCATAAATATCCGGATACGTATGGACGGGGCCTGAATTAAACAATTTTATGAGCGAGTCACAACTTCTAGCTGGCAACACGTAGCCTCCTAATCGGGGACACCTTATTTTTAAAATCTTATTAAGTATAAGATTACATTCGGTAAGATATCTAGCCGAATTTTTGAAAACGTGCCTCGAAAGGCCAAGAATGATTCACACAGAACCTGGCGATAGCCAGGTTTCTGGTGACTGCGGTGAGAATTTTTATGGAGGGCTTGCTCTCTTAGTTGGTCTCATTATCAAGCTCAGTCCCTGAGCTAATTTACCATGGGGTGGGGAGGGGCCTCCATGTCAATCCCTAGTGGGGGAGGGCGCTGCAAAAGCTTGGTATGGTCAGTTAGTCTCTCTTGAGAATCAGTTCACTGATCAGGTGTGTGCTTTACGTTTGTCACGCCAAATTCTTTAAATGTTTCGGGCCGATTGGCCCATGAAAGGATTGCCGGGCTGCGAGGCCGTGTCATGCCGAGGGGGGGGGGGGGGGGGGTTTTGCTTTGAATTTTTGCTTGGGGCCTGCTTAAGCCCTCAAGGCCCTTCTGCAAGTGAAAGCATTAAAGAACTAAGAAACCCCCAAGTTGGAGGGGTATTAGAATAAAAATTCTTTTGTTTTTTAGGACCAAAGAAGGAAGCAGCACACAGCCACACCCAGAGTGTCGGTTGGCGTCTCTTTTGTGTTGTTGTCTTGTGTTTGGTGGTTTTTTTGTGTTTTGCCGCACGCTCTGGTTTGCGTGGGGGGGGGGGGGGGAGAGTGTGGCGGGGGGGGGGGGGGGGGGGGCGTGGGGGGGGGGGGGGGGGGGGGGGGGGGGGTATTGCCTTGAATTCTCTGCTTAGGGCTAGCTTAAGCCTCAAGCTGCCTCTGTCACGTAGAGCCTTAAAGCAGCTAGAGATCACCAAGTTGAGAGTGTCTTTGAATGAATATTTCTTTGCTAGTCAGGAACCAAGAAGAGAGTCACCTTAGAAGGCTTATGGCTAAGAGATGAGTTTCTTTACAATATTTACTTTAGTTAAGTCAAGTTAAGCTGTGTGGCCTAGAGTTGCCAGCTGGCGCGGTTTTCATAAATTAGGTTAGATATGTATCTGCAATAAAAGTGATGATTACAATATCATGCTTAACTAATAGTAATCATTGACTATACTTTTGTAAAACGTTTAATGAGTCGTCAAGGCATTTCAATTTTCTGGACAAAAAAATGCTTTCACCGCAAATTTAAGTGAAGTACAAGCTCAGTTTTAGCATTGTTAGGCACTAGCATTTAGTAATTAACAAGAATAGGAAATGTATAACGTCAAATTAAACGAGAGCGCAGTCCATCTCAATAAACTAACCATTCTAATACAGCTTTAATAAAATGGACCACCCTAACATTAATATATGAACTGAGATGAATCATGAGTGTTTTTTTTCTTTTTGCAATGTCTTTTCCATTTCCACAACGTTTCTTACCTTGGCTCACTAACATCGCCGCCATTTACAACTGGTATATCTGGGGAATCACTGTAACTTGGTGTTTCCGCGATACTTACCGAAAGTTTACCAGCGGTTACCTAAAAAAACAAGACACCGTTTAATAATGTTACACTTTCTCGGCATCTAAGGACAATGCCCGAAAATAGCTGCAGTGTTGACCCTACGGTAGTCTCCCACCCAGCCGATTTTATCTGGTCACGCAACGAGTCTTAAGTAGCAG